ACAATTCTATCATCATTTACTTACCCCTGTTATTTGAAACTTATTTGAGGAGATGTTAGGTAGAAAGTTAGACATAGAGAGCCATGAATAAAGTGTGATTAAATGTTTACTTTTAAAAATCATCCCTTTAACATCACTAAATCATGTACTGAAAGATCTTACCAAGCATGATCAGCCTTGGAGTAGAAAGAAGTCAAGCCTGGTCTTTGCATCTGCCAGAGTTGTTGTGACCTACACACAGACACAGTTTTTCTAAGTGTCAGTTATAGCAATCATTCTTTTAAGTGGGCCATCAACACCAGGGCAGCTGCATCAGTAACGTTATTCACATCTGGCACAGCAGCAGAAAGCGCAGTAACGTTATTATCTACACAGATTTCTCAAAATCACATTTATGCTTCCTACTAAGGTGTGCTGAAAATGATTACGTCACTGTAAAATAGTTTTTACAGTTACTAACTGGACATTCCGTTTTTTTTACCATCTCGAATGTGTCCTCTTAGGTTTTCACAAAGGCTGGAGAATAGTCGACACGACTGTAACTTACAGCCTTCCACGGTGCATCTAGAATTCAGATTGTGTTGTTCAGATCTATTCACTATTTTTGCGGGCTTTATGTGTTTGCGGTAACATTACGTGTGCGACTGAAGTGAAGTGCGGAGAGGCTAAGAACGTGCATGCATACACGAAAACCTGAAGTTCGCGCTTTGGCATGATTAATAAATGCATATAATGGCTCTAAAGGGACGCCACGGTGTTTGCAGACGAACATTGCGGGTTTTACGCTAGCAGTAAATGCATGCTGTACATTTATACACTTATATATGGGTAGCGCCAAGAGATTACACAGCTGTACCATGACATAATAATATAATAATATAAAATATGTAATGAAAAAGCAGGAATATTGTACATACATTTGCAGCTGCGAGGTGTGTCCGTCTTCCTTTTCAAGATTCTTCTTCTTCTTTCTCCAAGCAGAAAAAAAGCCTTTCTGTCATTGGTCAGGTTTCGCGCTCATTTTTTTTAACTGTATTTGGATTTACAGTAAATGAAAAATACTGTATTTTAATGGCGCCAAGAGGATATTTCCCATAATGCAACTTTAAAATACAGTAACGTACTGTATACCTGTTTTACAGTAAAGTACAGTTCATATTACAGTTAAATACTGTGTAATTTACAGAAATCGCTAACAGTGTATATTTGACATTTGAGGCTTAATACTATAGAAAAGCACTAGAGGTTTTTCAGTTATTAGCAATGTGATTAGATGGTACGGTGTAGCCTTAAAGGCATAGTCCACCCAAAAGTGAAATCATTTACTCACCCATAATGTTGATCCAAACCTGTGTGTGTCTTTAGTCTGCTGAACACAAAAAGATATTTCAAAGAATGTTGGTAACCAAATAGTTTCGGTTCCCCATTGCTTCCATTGTATTTTTTGAAATCCAGCTCATTTCCTCTCTCACTGCTGGCAGTGTGATGTTTACCTCTGCTGTCAAGATTATTAAACTCATAATAAAGATCTCTTAATTGGCCTTGACAGTATTGTCAAGTCAGGTTGATTATTGACATTCCGCTAAAAAACGCTGGTTCATTTTTCAAATGAATTATTGACTCTTATGAAATGCTCTCTGCTCTGTGGGCTGCTGACAAGACCAGAGTTTTTCAGTGTTTTTATGTCCATTATCTGCACAGGTTATTGACTATGGACTCATGGAGGATTTTGTTCTTTAGAGTTTGAAGATATATACTACCATTCGAAAGTTTGGGGTCGGTGTGATTTTTTTAAATGTTTTTGAATAAAGTCTCACCATTTACTGGATCAACAATAGATTAAAACAGTGATATTGTGAAATATTACACTTTAAAATAACTGTTTTCTATTTGACTATATTTTAAAATGTAATTTATTCCTGTGATACAAAGCTGAATTTTCAGCATCATTACTCCAGTCTTCAGTGTCACACGATCCTTCAGAAATCATTCTAATATGCTGATTTGATGCTCAAAAAACATTTATTTTTATTATTAATGTTAAAAACAGTGGTGCCACTTAATATTTCTGTGGAAACCATGAAACATTCTTTCAGGATTCTTTGATGAAAAGAAAAGATCATTCAAAAGAGCAGCATTTATTTGAAATAGAATGTTTAAGTCTTTGCACACTTTTGATTCAATTTAATTTATTTAGTTTTTTTTTGGCTTTCAACCTTTTTCCTCTGTTGATCTGCATCACACACAAATGTGCCGTGAGTCATATCTGACTCATTCATGGCAAAGTTCATTACAGGAGGATGTTCTTATGAGTTCTGCCTCTAATGAAGAACTGTGAAAAGCTTTGAAATTTTCCCAGGTATGTTAATCAACAGTCAGACACATGCCAAAAAAAATAATAATAAATTATAATGCTGTTCAGCTGTCATTTTCTTGTCTATAATTAGAATGATCTGAAATTACATGTATTCTAGGACAAATTAAGACCATGAAATGAAAATGACAAAATAATGAAGAATCTGCCATTTAAATATAGTATCTCTCTGTTGTGTAATGTGAATTTCTGACCTTTACAACTGCAGTATTTCATGTCAGTACCACAGGTGTTGGTCTGCATTGTGTCTTACTGAAGTTCAGACTATCAATCACATAGAGACATACGCCACCATGTGGTTTATCACGAAAGTTCATCAAATCACAGAGTTATATATATATATATATATATATATATATATGCATTCTTGTGAATACATTTTTCATTTATTATTTTATTTTTAAATATTACCCCAAACTTTTAAATGAAAATGTATTACGGTTTCCTCAAAAATATTAAGTAGCAATAACTGTTTTCAACATAAGAAGAAGAAGCAAATCAGCATAATAGAATGATTTCTGAAGGATCATGTGACACTGAAGACTGGAGTAATGATGCTGAAAATCCAGCTTTAACATCACAGGAATAAATTACATTAAAAACTGCCATTTTAAATAGTAATAATATTTCACAATATTACTGTTTTTACTGTATTTTTGATCAAATAAATGCAGCCTTGGAGCACATAGAAAATATATATCACACTCTGTTAAATATTGAAAAACTCTTATCCCTTACAAACATTTAGCCATAGTTCTTAAACTTATTTCAGAATAGACAGCTTTCTCACAAAAGATGAAATATTATGATTATTATAAGATTATCTCAGCAGTGTATACCAGCTAAATCTCTCCTTGTTATCTGAAACTGGAAGGCCTGACGGATAGGTTATGGTTTTGAGGGTTGCAGCTAAAGCGGTTGACCTTTAGAGACAAAAAGACTCATATTACTGCAGGCAGTATTTCAGATAAAGTCTGACATGTATCAAAATTAGCTTGACCTCCCATGACAATTTTTACAATATAAATCATTTGATTCTAGTCTTTACAAGACAAAAAATGCATCTCATACACCAAGGATTCAGATGTTTTCTGTGAGAGCACACACACACACACGCCCTGCACGATCACCAGACTGCTTTTGTTATGAACTCTCAAATCAAATCATGTGGGCAACACACTAGGGCAGGGCCTGCATTTCACAGCGCCACACCTTATACAGTCATTTATGCATAACTCCATGCTAATAAGACATTTTTGCTCTGTTTCTAAACGACAAGAATCTACAGTATGCAAGCAGTATGATTTCAGTATGCAGTATGTATACTGTGCATAACGTGAATTTTCTGTTGCACATTATTATACATATACAGAGTTGAATGCATGGAATACTGTATCCCACAATGCAATGTGTTTGCGCACATCCTTCAGTTTCCTTGTGATGGGTGAGTATCAGCAGCAATTTTTAAATCTCTGTTCTTGATACATTATTTGCTCTTTTTACTTTTAATTTGATTAAAACGACACAAAATTAGCTTCTTAAATTCTAATTTAAGATAGATATTAACTTGACACTTGTTGAATTAAACATGCAAAACTATGCTTATCACTGCTGGTCATAAGACAAGACTGTAATAGCATACTATTGTTTTTAAACTTATGTTGTTACGTAATGCATTCTATTTTATATACTAATGAAAATAGTACGCAGCATACAGTGTATACTTAGCAAAATCCCCGCCAGTGCTACTGTCACTTTAAGAGATGATGTAATCAGTTAAGTTTGTTTGAGCTCTCCAGCTGATCAGCCCGAAGCCGAACCACTGAGCAGCTGAGACGCTCGGATGATGGAGTTTTTCATAGGAAACCCGTTTTCTACACCCGTGGGTCAATTTATAGGTGAGTAACACGCTGGATGAGATCGCAAATCACACGCAATACGTTTAAACGAGCATTAGTTACGCACAGATAGGCGAGTGTGTACTTAAACTTGATGTGTCCAATACGACTGTTTGATATTTACATCGAATTCAACAACATTATCTATATATTCGTGGCTAGTTTACTTGCAAGACACAAATGAACACGTATACATCGTTTAATTAAGGATGACATTAAAAAGGATACGATTAAATTGAGATGAGGCTCAACGCCCCATATCTGTGTTCGTGATTGGCGGAACTGTGTGTCAATCAAATGCTGTCCGCAAATAGTAACGAAGAAGGGCGGGACGAAGAGGGTTTGTCTCGGTGTACTCCTTTTGACCCAATTCTTAGTCGCTCTTCTTTAGAAAATAAATATTTATATCTGAGTATTAAAACGGTTATGTAACCCATTCCAGAATTTACTCTTGGTTTCACAAGAAATACAATATCAGGGCTACTTTTCAGTAATTTCAAGGGCTGTTCTGCCTCTCTTTTGATAGTGTCATTGCAACTAGACTCTCATCTATCAAATGGGCTGCACAGAGCAGTTAGTTGGGAAGGAACTGTTCGTTTCAGCCAAACACGATAATTTCGCATTAGCAGCAACATTATCTTTGCAGTGCTCTACTCATCCCAGATTTCTCCTTTAGATGAATAGAATTGTCGGATTGCCCAAATAAACTTACTGAAAGGTTCACCCATAAATAAAAATGGTCACAATTCACTTTATGCTGCTATTTTTCTGTGCAACATGAAAGGATTTTGGTGCATTTGTAAGAATTTTAATTCACATCATCTCCATATGGAACACTATCTATATAATATATGTGTGTGTGTGTGTGTGTGTGTGTGTGTGTGTGTGTGTGTGGAATGACAACAGTGTGGGTAAAGAATGACAACTTCTATTTTTGTATGAACTATCCCTTTAAACATGGTTTTTAAGTTTGTATCATTACATAGGGTGAATACCAGTGAAATGACAGAGCTTTTGATGGAACTCGCCCTTTCATACTGTTGTAAAGCCTGTTTTCCCTGCCTAGATGCTGAATCTTAAGCACTGTAAACAGTACGACAAGTCACGTTAAACTCAGTAAGCTAGTTTAAATTTTCAGTTCGGCATATGGGTGGGATTTCTCTAATCCAGAATGAGTTGAGTGTAAATACAAGAACTCTTTTTAAAGTTAGTCCGGGCTCTTCATGACGATAAGGAGCTGTTATGTCATCAGAAGTTCAGTGTTTGTAACTCTACAAGTGTTGTTGTGAATCATAAACCACCCCGCTGATGAGTAAGATAACAATAATGGCCTGATGTAATAGCAGAAATGTTTATTTCATGTTCTCACCACTGGTGATGTTTCGACCCGTATGGCTCTTCATCAGACATCTGGGCTCAAAATATCACCTGTGGTGAAAACATGAAATAAACATTTTTGCATTTTGAGAGCCGTGGTGTGCCAACTTTTCTTTCTTTTTTTATTTTACAGTAGTTGAGCAACCTCAGTGAGGTTTTTGTTACCCATCAGATGTGCACTTTTTTTTTTATTGTTTGCTGATGTAATAGCAGGCCAGTCGACTGACAGTTCAGGGATGTTTGTTTTGTGTGTGAGCATGTAATAAGGTATTTGAAGCCAAGAGTAAGTTTCTTCTAAAGTTAATTGTTGATTCTGTTAATAGGGAACAATACTAGTTATCTTCATAATCGTTTTGGGTTCATCTGTGTTTCTGCATTTTGTTCAGTTGTGCTTAACAAAAAGTAACGATAAGTATGTAATCAAAACATGTTGTTGTATCCTTTTAGTTTAGATTGAAGCCTTTATGTGTATCTCTGACTGCTTCTCGCTCTCTTGCTCAGAACATGCCACCAGTTCTTCTCTCCCGTCTGAAGACTGGGGCCTCAACATGGAGATCTGTGACATTGTCAATGAAACAGATGAAGGGTGGGTATGTTGTCAGATACAACAGATTTCTGTTTATATGGTCATGACAATTAATTCTTTTTAAACTCATCCCCAATTGTATTTGGACACCTAAACTACACTTAAAATGTCTGAATGTCATTGTATTAGACCACGGATTCCCAAACTGACATTTGACCTAATATGCATCGATTTTACCTAAAATATTAGCTTGAAATCCCTCAGGCCTCAGGCCATCCGAGATGTAGATGAGTTTGTTTCTTCATCGGATCAGATTTGGAGAAATGTAGCATTACATCACTTGCTCACCAATGGATCCTCTGCAGTGAATGGGTGCCGTCAGAATGAGAGTCCAAACAGCTGATAAACACATAATCCACAAGTGATTGACATTACTCTAGTGACATAAAAAGCTGTATTTACATAATAAACAAATCCATTATTAAGACATTTTTATATTCAAACCGTTGCTTCAGTCCTCTATCCATAATATTGCTAATATTACTTAATAATGCTTTCATCTTGTATGAATCAGGAGAGAAATATGCACAGAACAAGCATCGTTTACAAGCAAAAACAGTCCAGAACAGTTCTCAACAAATATGTTGCTGGATTTTGATGTGAGAGGACAGAAGCTACGGTTTAAAGATAAAACATGATAATGATGGATTTAGTTCTTGCATAAACATAGGTTTTTACTTCACAAGGCATTAATTGATGGACTGGAGTCGTGTTGATTACTTTGTGATGTTTTTATCTGTTCCGATGAAGAAACAAACTCATCTACATCTTAGTAAATTTGAAGCAAATTCCTAAAGTAAACTGTTCCTTTGAGAAAAAAATATTTCATAAAATTTAACAACACGTGTGTATGTTCATGGTTCTGTGATGTTGGCTAATGGTCACATGACATGCAGGTAAACAAATAAAATCTATTGTTCTATTTAATAAATATTGTTCTATTAATAAAATCTATTGTTCTATTTTAACCGTTTTTATTTTAAAATGATCTTAATTTGACATTTTTATGATTTGATTATTAATGATTTAGTTTGGGAAACCCTGTGTTAGATAAAATAACAAACTACATTAAAAAATAATAATGTTTCACAACCACAAAGTGTCACAATATAATTTGTCTTCATTTTGAGCTGTATAGCTGTCATTCAAAACCTAATAAACCTAATTTTATCATTCTATAAAATATGTAAAATAATAATAAATGGCTTAAATGTCCAAATCTGTATGGTGCTTTGAGTTTCTAGATATTATAACATGCATTATATAACATTGTATAACATAATTTTTGTAATGCTGCTCTGTTTGCAGACCTAAAGATGCAGTCAGAGCAATAAAGAAGAGGATACTGGGAAATAAGAATTTCAAAGAGGTTATGCTGGCTCTGAGTGTAAGTGTCAAACATAATGTTATTACCATCAACTCAATGTCTTATTTCACAGTATCTTTGGAATCATTCTTCTGGTTTTGCTGCAGGTGTTGGAGGCCTGTGTGAAGAACTGCGGGCACAAATTCCACGTCTACGTGTCCACCAGAGATTTTGTGGAAAACGTTTTGGTCCAAACGATCCTGCCTAAAAACAACGCCCCAGTGTTTCTTCAGGACAGAGTCTTGAGCATGATACAGGTCCAGATAAACCCTTTATAAACCCAGCTAGTGCTCAGAGTAAACGTCTTTATGCGGTTCATATTTTTTGCTGTGAAGTATTCAAACAGAGCTCTGGGTGTGTCTGGCGTCTGATTCTATCTTTCTCTCTCTCTAGGCGTGGTCCGATGCCTTTCGTAGTTCTCCAGATTTGACGGGTGTCGTGACCATCTATGAGGATCTCAGGAGAAAAGGCGTGGAGTTTCCTATGACTGAACTGAATGGCTGTTCCCCTATTCACACTCCCAACAGGGTAGAAACTGCTGCACATTGACAGCACGTTGTTTATAAACAATTATGAATCCAAATAAAGATTTATTGGGATTCATACGTGTTTATAAAAAGCTGCACATCTCAAAATCAGACTGTATATCCTCTATATAGAGTGCTAGCATGCAATATGTGCCATGATTAATTTCAATTTTAGATTTAATTTATTAATGCTTGACTCCAACAGACCATTGAGTCTGCGTCTCCGGTAACAGCTTGCACAGAAAGTCACTCCGTCAAATCCTCACAGCCACAGAATACAGAGATGCCCGTCATGCTGTCACCTCAACAGGTAACACACACACACACACACACACACACACACATGCAGCAATGCTGACTCAGGCTGAAGTGAGGGTGGGACTGGAATATTTTAGGGATGAGCTAAATGTTATGGATGGACTAAACTGACTAGGCCGACTAATGGACTAGTAACCACTCAGCAGGACTCAATTTAGCTTTGAATTAAATATTTAAATATTTAATATTAATACTATTTAATAATTAATAGTTCAATTGTAATTTGTACACATACATAATGGTCATATTATATATACTATTAACCCCCAAAAGTGTGAGTAGTACATTAGTACTATTTAAGTAATCTCTTTTTTAAATATTGAGTTTAATATTTGTATTTAATGATTCATATTTTACATATACATATACATATATACATATACATATACATATACATATATATATACCCCAATGTTTATATAATTCTCAGCCTAAATTTCAAGGTCACTGCTTAGTCCTATTTGAAGTTATCCTAACAGGAGTAGAAGGGCAGTTTTTAAGCATATTTCATAAATTAATTGTATTCTGAAGCACAGTATAAAAAACTTGAGATTTTTGAAAAAGAACTCTGATCAAAATTAGAGAACACTTTCAGATGCCTCCAGGTTATTGGTGTTAATCTGGCACCTGGTGCTAATTTCCTTAATCATATGACAAACCCTATTTAACTGACAGCATTCCTCTGATTTTCACTGAGATTGCAAGATGGCGGGCCACTCTAAGGTGACTGAAAGCTGCAACAGGAGGTTGTCCAGATGAAGGCTAAGCGGCCCCGATATACTCAAAACGAAGGTCTTTTTCGTTTTTCGTTTAGGGGTGAAATGAAGTTCGAAATACGTGAGCAGCGGTATACTGTTATCGAACATCCCGATGCCGCCCACTCTGATGAAAACAACGTTTATATAAATATGTAAATATGTGCTGCGTGCTTTCCTCTTAGTAACAAAATAAACACAACAAAAATGGAGAGAACAGCAAGCATGTTTAATAAAAAAGCATCTGTTCATAGCAACATGGGTATGCTTGAACAAGCTCTGCAAATTAGCACTCCCGTAAAGTCACGTCACGTGTATTTACATGGCACTTTTTTCAATATATTGCTTAAAAGCAATCAGCCGTATGTTTGTTATATAACCTTTGAGAGACAAAGAATTGTCACAGTGACAAAGGCAGATAGCCGAAACTTTTGTCTATTTTATCTCCTGCTTTAATTCTAATAAAATATTTTAGGAGTGCAAACCAACCTCTGCAACATGGGTATGTTAGCACAAGCTCTGCAAATTAGCACTCCAGTAAAGTCACACGTATTTATATGCCACTTTATTCAAGAGAATGCTTAAAAGCAAGCAACTTTGCAGTATTAAACATGAAAAACAGTGTCAGTGTCTCATTTCATCAAAAGCAAATCTTAATTTGCTACTATAAAGCGGCGGACATCCACGGACATCTCACCTCCAAGGTTTTGACAGATGAAATGATCTAGTGATGTGTCATTCGCGTTCATGCATAGGCTTAGTTCATGTGTAAGGCTGCGGAAGGCTTAGCCTTCCCCTGGATGGTCCTCACTGCAGAACACAAGATCCAGGGGGCGTGGTTGG